CCTTGTAATATGAACAGTTTATTCATGCGAGATGAAGGACACAGTACTCAGAAAAGCTTGAAACTTCCTTTTTTTAACAATTATAAACAGAATCAGGGCATTTTTCATCAAGTTAGACCCCAAAGCATGACTGATAGTTGCAGATCAGACTATATGTCATCTGTGTGTGTAATAGTCGAAGTCTATGTATGTACCATTTGAATGGCCTTTCTTGGGATTTAGAAATGTTCTCCCCATTAGAAATCTTCATATAGACATGCATAAAACCTCAGGTTTAAATACTCTGTTCCTTTGAGTAGCTTATGCAATGTAATGCTGGTACTTTCGTACCTCACAATGTCTAAATATCATGCTGTATGCAAATGTAATGTGTATCAGTTATACGTCAACAGCTGGATTATTATCTCAGAATGACTAAGAGAAGCAGTGACCGTGAGCTGTATAGTGCTTCTACTCTGCAGTTAGAATTTGGAAGCTAAAGCTACACTTGATTTGTCCTTGAAACTTTGTGTTGTTCTAATCCTCTTCATCTGATTAGTTAAGAAAAATGTGGAGCACGTTTCTTAGTTGCAATCAATGCTTCAAACTATGAAAGAAATGTGCTAGAACAGGTCCTGCTGCAGGGGCATGTGACTGATCTTGCTGTTTTCTAATCATACTCTTTTCATCTCAGCTTTCATAAGGTAGTATGTTATGAAATAGAACGTATGTGGGTGTCTTCGATTGTACCTTCAGAGATAGCATGGAAAGATAAAATGTATAAAATAATCACGTTTTATTTTCTAAATACTTGATTTTTTTTTCCTGTCAGCAAAAGCTCTAGGAGCAGGTTGTCCCAGGAGGTTGTGGATGCCCCATCCCTGGAGGCATTCAAAGCCAGGCTGGATTTGGCTCTGGGCAGCCTGGCCTAATGGTTGGCAACCCTGCACATAGCAGGGGGGCTGAAACTAGATGGTCATTGTGGTCCTTTTCAACCTTTCTATGATTTCCAAATAGTGTATTCAGTGGTGCTTCTAATTCCATCCTCCCTGATATTCTGTGTAGGTTAGAGTTTCTAAGGATATACAGGAAGAGACATTTCCTCAGGAGCCTAACAGTCTGTACCTCAGAATAAGAAAGGTCTCTAACATGTGAGAGAGAAAATACTGAGTGTAATTGTACTGGATTCTTCAGCAGGGTGGAGGCTCCAGACTCCTCTTACGTACATTTCCACTTTGTTTCCTTGACTTGGCTATTAATGTGTGTACAGCAAGCTCAGCTTCAGAAGCAGTAGTCCAGGGATTGTGACAGAGCACCACCCTGAGACCTGGGAGATGCAGCTCAGACTTCTTGGGCTAGAAAGGATCTGAAATTTTTATTTCCTATTTTCAGGTGTGTTGCAGCTACAAGGTTACTAAAACAAAGTTGGGAGCACCTTTCAGTTTTCAGCTGGACTTGTTTGGTTCTGCTTTAGTGGACAGGTGTAGCTCACTGAAACAGGATGCAGAAAACATTCAGGTCCTCTTAAAGGAAGGAACCTTTGTGGTCGCAGACAGAGGTGCTGGTTGTTTTGAGGTACCCCCAGGGTTTAGGCAGAAATTCAGAGCTGTTCTGAATCTTGGCTGCTTAAACATTCTAATTACTAGTTAAGCAGATCATTTTAAGAATCTCAAACTGAAGTTGAAGGAAACTAGAAATCCAATTTAAGGATTTAAATACAAGGTACTAACTGCCCTGAAGAAATGAATATTACATTTGTTTGTGTGGTGTAACAGGAGGGCCCTTAGGGTCAAAGTCATACATCTGTAAAGTAAGTAGGAAGGAGCATAGTATGATTTCATGGGACATAGCAGCTAACGTGAGCTGAGTTACTTGAAGAGTGTCTTGAAAGCAGTTATATAATCTGCAGCTGCTGCTTTCTGCCACCTGAGGTCCTCTTTTATCCCTGATAAGTAGTGTTCTGCTGACAGAGTACGTACGGTATGTACAAGAATAACACACAGTTGAAATGCTTCCTTGCAGTTTTGAAAATAAATTTTTTTTTCAGAAGAATTATGTAAAGCTGTTTGTATTAAGTTGGGAATCAGTTTTTCGTATCTGTGAATGATTTAGAACTGTGATTGCTAGGTTTCTTGATTGACAATTTCTCATCTCTTACAATGCCCTATAACGTGCTTTGTTGATTTGCTTTGTTAACATTTAGCAAGTTCAGCTGTTAATGTTTTTATTTTCAATGCAGTTCTCTTCCCCTCTGTGACCTGAAAAACATGTAGTAATTTGTGATTGTGGTGCCTGAAATGAGCCTTCAAGTTTATTTCTAAGTAAGGCAAGGTGAACACAAGTATTTGGGAGATAGTGACTTGAGCAGTTTTCAGTTTGATAACCCTTGAAGAAGAAGAAAACTGAGAGTTGCTTTTTTCTCTCTACACATTAGCCAGTATTTTTCACAATCCATGGTGTTTTTTCATGTGATTACCATTAAAAACTTAAAAAAAAAAAGAAAAAAAGAAAAAAAAAAAAAGCAATATAAACATAGAAAGGTAAACAGCAGTGTTCCTCAGGAAAAAAAAAAGTGCACTTTCTCACTTTCTCTTTGTGAAGGCATTTGAAAGTGAATGCAGTTTTAAGTTGGACCTAGCAGCATGTAAATTGGTAGATGCATTTATTGCCCCTCTCCAGTTCTTGGTTAAATACGGTTAAGTATTGCTCTTTTGGGTGCTGATGGGAACATTTGCACGCATGGATGGGGAGCTGTATCAAGATATTGAAGATACTGCTCTGGTGGTAAAAACAAACCAAAACAACCAGACAACCTTTTTTGTGGGGCAGGGGCAGTCTTGCTCTTTGATCTACCAGTTGCAAGCTATCTAACTGTCCATGTGGTTGTATTGACACAAAAGATGCTGGGAGGATTAAGAATTAGAATTAAGAAGAACTCCTTTAAACCGTCTTTGTCCTTGGAAGAATGCTGGATGAATCATGACATAATGGGTGTGCTTTATGTAAAGTATTTCTGTTTTGTAAACTCAGACGTAAAGAAATGAGATGGACTTGGAAATAAATCTGGGCTTGCTGACGTAATATCTCCCTTCCCAGAGGCTTTTACACAAACTGCATGGTAACAAAGGGGAGGTTTGTACCTTCTTGGGTTTGGAGTGAAGGTATGTGGTATAATGGGCTGGTTCTTGTGGGACTGGCCTTTTCTGGCTGCAGCGTACATTCCATTGTTTGGCAGGCAGAAGTGGAAAACAATGTCTCTTTTGCTTTTCCCTATGGATTTCTTTGCAGATCTAGTTTTATGGATCAGAGATTATACTTGGGCATTCAAGTATTCAAAAATATTTTGAACTTTTGTTTGTCACATTTAGTGGTGTTTGTTTTACAGCTGTGAATAGCAGGAAGCTATAGTCTAAGGAAAGATTTGTAAAGCCAAATATTACCTTTTATTTTAGACTAATGTAAGTGGAGAAAAAAACCCTAAAACTTTATAGCGTCAAAGTGTCCTCAGATAAAACTGGACGGTTCTGTCTTTCTGTATGAGATGCCTTTCTTTAGCTATTTATCAGTTTACAGCTGCATGAGAGTCGAGAGAAGATTTGTGTGCATGTATGAATGTTGTTTTATTCTGAACCAGTGGTCTATGTACTTCAGTGTGACACACAGGCACTACTAAAGGAGTTGTTCCTCAGACCAGCATTGGAACAGATCAGCTGAATTACAGCTTGGTGCCCCTACTGGGTAAAAGCCGTTGGGATGACGTACAAAGGTGTGAATGTCTGGCATGTGGGGTGTCGGAGCTGAGAAGTGAAACGCACTTACGGCTTTGGGCTGCTTTAAGCTGTCGTACACATTTCTTTTATACAAAGGCAGTACTGTAAAATATTGCTAAGATGATGGAAGGAGGAACAGTATTGTAGATGGGGCAGGAGGGTCTAAAGAAATAATTCTTGTTTTCTAACTCCTTGAAATTTCAAATAGTGGGCTCTTTCCATGTATGCGATCTTTGAAGAGGTAATTCGTTCTCAGTTTTCTACTCAGTGAAAAGGGCAGGGCAAGACATGAAAGTCTCGCTGCTTCACCGAGTCGTTAAGGGTCGTTTAAAAAAGACAAGCGTGTGAGCAATTAACTGAAGGCTGCGTGCTAACGCACTGCCTCTAAGTGACAACTACCTTAAGGCTGGCCCTTGACTTTCTTTTAACTTAACGCATATTTTTGCGGGCTGATTTCCATCCCGCTATGCCGCGGCAGGGCCGCGCGCTCCCCTTTCAGCAGTGCTGCACTACGGAGGAGTCCCTTGGAAGGACGTAAGCGCGGCGCTCGCTCTGAGCGGCAGCGCCCTCCGGCTGCCTTCCCGGAGCTGCTTCCTGGCGTTCCTGCGGGGGAGGCGGGAAGGTGAGCGCACGGCGCTCAGAGGCGCAGAGCACCGCCGAGGAGCGGGGTCCCAGCCGGAGCCTCGCCGACTCCCGGCGGTTCTTGGGCCGCACGTCACGTGCGCTCGCTTATCAATCGCCGCAGCTAAGGCACGGCGGAAAGGCAGAGCCTGGACTCGGACGAGCAGGAAAGGATCGAGAAAGAAAGCGGTTGCGGTTCGCCGAAGCCGCGTCCCCCAGCGACCTGGGCGACTCGCGAGAGCGACCCTCCACCTCCCGTACCCCGACGGCTCTGCACGACGTTGCCCGAGGGAGCTCCGCCCGCAGCGCTGCCCCTCGCGGCGGAGGCCCCGCCCTCCACCCTGCTGAACCAATCGCAAGGGGCCGTGGGCGCGGCCCTCCTGTTCCTCAGCCAATCGGAGGCGCGGCTGACACAAAGTGGAGTTCTTTGCACGCGCTTTCAAGACCAGAAAAGATTGCCAGCGATACCGTCCAATCGTAATGAAGGAAGGCGGGGTTGGCTCAGCCGCTAACCCAATGGGAGGGCGAGAGCCGGGCAGGGAGGCGGTGCGGGGAAGGCGAAAGGGGAGTGGCAGGAGCCTGACGCAATAGGAGAGCAGAATCCCGCGGAGCCCGGGCCAATGGGTACCGCCGGTGGGCGGGGCGGGGGGCGGCCGTGCTTGGGCTCCGTGATTGGGAGAGGGGCAGCGGGAGCCGGGCCGGGCAGGGCCGTGTGTGCGCCGCACGAAAATGCACTCGGATGCCGCCGCTGTCAGTGAGTAGCGGCGGGCCGCGCCGCGCTCCCTCGCCCGCTCCGCGGCGGCCCTGGCCTGACCAGCCCGCCGCCGGGCCCTGCCGCCCGCTCGGCTCCTCCGCACCTGGCTGGGGCGGCGCAGCCGAGCGGCGCCTCTCGTTCGCGGGGGAGGGCGCCGAGCCGGCGCGGGGAGGGCGGCGGGCAGGCCGGGCACGGCGAGCCGGGGGGCGGCCCTCGGCGGGCTCCGGGCGGGAGGGGCCGGGCGGGGAGGGGCGTGCGGCAGTGGGGGCGGCAGAAGCGGCGCCGTGCGGCCCTGGGAGGCTATGACGCAGTTTCCCCGGCCCGGCTGGGAGAGCGGCGGGCTGGGGGCCGCGGGCAGCCCGAGGGGAGCGGCGGCGCGAAGGGGAGGAGGGGACGGGGGCAGGCGGGCGGCGGCGGCGCCGCCCCGCGGGAGAGGTGCGTGCGCGGAGGGGGGCCGTTGGCGGAGCGGTTCTTTCGGGCCGCTGCGGGGGAAACGGGCTGCGAGGGGGGAGCGGGCGGCGCGCCGTGGGAGGTGGAGGCTCTTCCGCCGCTGCCCCGCGCGGGCGGGCCGGGGGCCCGTCGGACTACAACTCCCGGCAGCCGCCGCGGCGCCCCGAGCCCCGCCCCCAGCGGGCTGCGTTCGCGGCCCCGGGGCCGAGCGGAGCCCCCCGGGCCGGGCCCGGTCACGGCGCTGGGGGCGGTCGCGGGGCGCTGGGAGGGCCTCGTCTGTGGGACGGCGCTCCTGGCCGCGTTCCCTGAGGTGCTCCCGGAGCTGGGGAGCCGCCTGGGGGGGGGGGCGGGGTGTTGGGAGTCGCGGCCCCGGGGCGCTCTCCGCTGCGGGGCTCGGTGAGAGGGGGCCGCGCTGCCGGGCAGGGTGACGGGCGCCGGGCGTCGTGAGGGCAGCGCGTCAGCGGGCCTGGGCTCCCCGGGCCCTCGGTGCTCCCCTGAGAGAGAAACTGGGCAGGGAGGCGCGGAGCCCGCACACGGTGACGTTATGTAATGTCTTTAGCAGCCCTGATTTATTCTACCTTCATGTTTATCGTTACGCGGTGGTCTTGAAGGCTCCCACTGAAGCAGAAACAGCTGCCTTATGTTGGAAATAGGAGGATATTTTTTCTAGAAAGTGCCTTTTGTTTGCTCCCTTTGCAGTATCCTCTGCCTAAAAGCCAGAAGGTGCAGGTCTGTATTACGCACTTGTGGGCTGCAGCTGCAGCTACTCCAGCACTCCCTAACGGAGGGTGCTGGAGGTGGTGCAGTGATTTGTGGTTGCTGATTTCTCTGCGTAGAACACACAGAGTACTGCTGCTCATGCTTCAGCTGTTGCTGTCTTCTCCTTCAAAAGGTCCCTTGCGCCAATTTCCATCTTTCACTACAGTGTATGGCAAAGCCTTGAAGTGCCTATGTGTGTATACGTGGTATTTTCAATAGGAATTTTCCTAAATTGTATCATTACCTGTAGATTTGTACCCCTTTTTCTTTTCTTTCACTGGGGAAATGCTTGAAACAAGAATTAATGTTTCTGTTCAGTCTTCTTTTTGATCCTCTCTATTCCATTAATACATTTTTACTCAATTTTTCTATGACGTATAATTTTAGTACTTGATTAATTTTTGTCTGGGTAACTTGTGCTAACTTGAGGCGAGTTGTTAATTCTCTCTTATTTACTTTTTCCCCCTTGCTTTGGAATCAGGAAAACAGTTCCCCCTCTCTACCTTCCCAACATTACATCCCAGTCCATTTATTTGCCTCTTCAAGCAAAAGAGGAAATCGCGCTTGATTTCTATAATGTGCTTTACGGAAAGCAGAGAACTGGGAAATAGGGTACACGTTAGGAAAACATTCACCTTCTGCACTCAGTTTAGGTGTTAGAGCCCTTAATGGTGGGGATGTGTGTCTTTCTGCAAGAAGTAATGCTGCTCACAGCGACTTAAAGCAGAAGCCTTATTTTAAAAGTACCTACTTGCAGATCTCATATAAATGCTCTTCATGTATTGTCCATTTTAGACATTTTTCTTAAAAATGTAAATCCGAGATTAAACAGAATTTCTCATTATGGCTCATAAAAAGATTAAAAAAAAAAAAAAGCAACAAAACACATCCAGTTCATGCAGTGATTTTTATTTGATTTTTAAAATGTCTGCTGCTGTTAGAATCATGTTCCAATGCCATTTGTTGCAGGTGTGTGAGGGCACAGGCACTGCTGCAGCTCATAGCTGAAGCTTATGGCTTCCATGGCTCTGCTGGTGCAGGGCTTTATAGGAGCACTCTCTAATCCATCAGTCAAATGTATCTGGGTTAGCTCTTGCCAATTCCTTAAGTTGGCTCAACCGACATGTTAAGTTTTTGCCTGCAGTGGATTAGGGAACGTGCCCATGACCTGTGCTGTTGGCAGAGCTGTGGGATCTGTAACTTTTGGCAGAGAAGAGAGAAGCAAGCAGCTGGGACAGCAGTGCTTGTGCCTGGTGTAGCTGTTTGTAGGCTGCTGCAGTTTCATCCTGATGTACTGATCCGTGTCGTGCCGGACATCCTAGCAGTGCATACCAGGGTTGCATTTCTGCTGAATTAGCTGGAGCACAAGACACAAAGTTTTTATTAGCTTTATACCCTTGGTAGGATGGCAAATGATACCTAATCTGGCATGAAGTTGGGAGCAGTGCTGGCAGTCTGTGCTGTGGCTGTAGCATCCAGTGACACAAAGTTAACTCATTGACGTATTTTGGAATGAATTTGATGCTAGAGTAGGAGAGTGGATGAGTACACTGCAGCAAATGTGTGCAGGCTAGCTCTGTATTAAATGCCTCATAGCTGCATTTCCTCTGTCCTGCTCATGGCGTCAGGAGCATGAGACCACTAAAATACTGTTTGATTTTGTAATGTATGCTTTAGAAATAGGTTTAAAAAAGATGTAATTGCCCACTGCTTTATTCATTCTTTTCCATCTGTGCCTGGCCACTCCATTTCTATGATATCCTGACAAGAATCTCCTCTAGGAATGCTTATCAGGCACATTTAGTGGGCACACAAGCTGTGGTATTTGCAGCAACAGAAACAGATGTATTACACCATAAATGCACACAGTGTTAGATCTTTGGCTAAAAACCAAAACAAAACATGAGCCAGTGTGCAGAGTTTATTTTAAAGTGCGTATGATAGCGTAGCTCTGAAATTTGTTCCAATTAAATTAAAGATAAATGGACGTTCAGGGAAAAGGAACAGCTATGTAACATGTCTGCTGCTTAAATTGCTCCGAAATTCTCAATGAACTTTAAACCTCAGTAGCTCTTTCTGTAAACAAACCTCCAGGTCAGGGTGCTTATTACATGCCTGGGTAAAAGAAGGATTGGTTCCTGTGAAGGAAAGATTAGTGCTTTTCCCTTTCCCCACCTGCAGAGCACGCATCAGTTTCACAATGCTTTGCTACAAGTAGTGTGAGTGACTGCTGATGTAACACCAAACGTTGCGGCGAAGGTTTGCGTTAAAATGATACCCTTTAAGTTAAGTGTACTTCAGTGTGCTGTCATTTCAGCCACATTTTGTTGTCAGGGCTTTATTTTAATAACGTGAACCACTGTTTTGCTTCAGGATGTTTTAGGGTGTAGTGTTTGGAAGACACGTGCAAGCTTCCACAGGTGTATTCGTGCTGTGCTGGCATCAGCAGTGCTGAGTGTTGAGTTCAGAGCTGTGGTGCACGAGTGCCTGCAGGGGTTGTGCCCTGCAGCATGGCACAACAGCCAGGAGGGCTCAGCCTGCTTTTCTTCCATTTAATTGGGAGCCCTTGCACCCCAGGCAGGAATTCACTTGCGCTCTCTTTCTGAATCATGGATGCCCCATCTCTGGAGGCATTCAAGGCCAGGCTGGATGTGGCTCTGGGCAGCCTGGTCTAGTGGCTGGTGACCCTGCACATAGCAGGGGGTTGAAGCTAGATGATCATTGTGGTCCTATTCAACCCTATTCTGTAATTCTGTGATATTCAAGGAAGTCCCTGTGTGGGAATGAAGTGGCATGTTTCTTTCTGGCTCGGACTTTGTGACAAGGCTGTAGGGATCTGTAACACTGTGCATTTTCTCTCACTTTCTGATTGGTTAAGAGCGGTGAAACAAAAGTGTAATACGCGAAGGTCTCAGAACAAAAACTGTGCTGTAACTCTCTTGTAAAGTTGTAGAGTCAACACCTGTTGTACCCAAGTGCCAGGAGGAGTCCAAGTTGCTTTGTTTAAGGCGGCCTCCAGTCGGCCGTGGGCTCTGAAAGTGACTTCATCCTCCCTTGGACAGGAATGCAATGTCAGTTCCTGGCTGCTCCATGTGCTTATTGTACTGCACTTGAGGATCTCTGTCCTTAGGTGTGTTGTTTTCCTGTAAATAAAGACAAAACTGATGCACGTTTTTCATTTGTTTTCTACACTTGAATATGTAAGTACTAAAGGCTTCCACCAAACATAGGCATCAGATCCATACGTCTAAACTCATTGGTCAGTATAAATTGTCGTGCCATTAGGATAATTCTGTAAGCAGATCAGTGAGCATAACATCATATTGTGACGTAGTTCATAATGATTGCATGATTCTTTTATTGGATAAGTAAGGTTTATTCAAAATCAGTTAGGAAGATGGTACTTTGGAGTAATGTTTCTCCTATTGCTACAAGTTTTCTCCATTTCTGTTGTTTGAAGCCAGGAACTGTATTAAATAAAAAAAGGCTGAAACATTCCATTCTAATTTTCAGGGCATGAATCTGTCCGGTATGTGTTTCTGTCTAATTGTTTTCTGAGAAGCTTTTAGTAAATGACAGCATTTATATGTTGGATTAATTTTCACAGTCATAAAAATTGCCGTGACTCCTTCCAGTCTTAAGTTCTTAATGCAGAATTGCATCTGTAACATTTATGTGTCATGTTTGTCTGGCATGATATTTTTAGACAGGTACTGTTAGAATTTAGACCTACTGCTACTAGAGATTTCCTATTTGCTGAGATTATCTAGAAGCTTTTAATGGAAGAGCCTCCTGCTGGTCTGATCTGGTGCTGGTGCAGGTTGATGGTAGGTGATGGTGCACCCAATGGCTGTGGTTTGTCAGAGCTTTGAAGTGATAATTTTAACGGCAGGAAATAAGCTCCAGGTGTCAGGCAGGTACGTGCCATGTGTGGGTGGGCACGGAGTTGGAAATACTCTTTATAGGTATTCATTTGTGGTCTCGTTTGAATAGTTTGGCAGCACGTGGTTTCCTGTAATAAAAATTATATTAGCCTTTTCTTTTTTTTTTCTTTTTCCTGAAAATGTGATTTTATGGATTTGAATTTGACATTTCAGATAGAAAGTATGCAGCTTCCATTCACTTCTGTCATTTGCTTATATTTAAAACATATATTGAGGGTTTTTTGGGGGGGATTAGGGTGGGGGGAAGGCAATGAATGAAACTATGTTGTGTTTCATTGTATTTCTTACATTTGTCTCAGTGAAGGATGTAGAGCTACTTTTATCACAGTGTTTTAAGGAAAAATGCCCAACCAGCTGTTCTCTCCTTTGCCTCTCCATAACTGTCAGGTCTGTGGTGTAAATTTTAACACTAAAATATTTTAAAGGTTATTTTTAATCTTTAATCTTTTTGCTTTCTACAGTTAGTTTGTATGTGACTGGAACTAGTTAAATAACCCAGACATGAGCACTTGTTCTTGACGCTGAACTGTGGATAAGGGTGAAGTTCCATTTTATAAGACTGGTTCTGGCATTTCTTTCTGTTCTGGCTGGATTTGCAATTATTTTACCCAGAATTTTTTTTCCTTAGCTGTTGTGTTGTGTATTATTTCAAACTATTTAATAGCATTTGGGATTTCCATTGCTTCAGTCTATTGCTAAAGATAGGCTAGCATTTGCAAGAAAAGCAAGCATGTATATCTGTGTTGGTTTATTTGTTTAATGTATTCCCCTTAGTGTTTGTACCATAGCATGTCTTTTCTTCAGTGTTCCTGAAACAAGCAGCTTTCCTTCACTTGATCCCAGGTTGTTTTTCCTTTCCTGCAGTAATAAAACCAGAAAAGAATCATAGAAGGTTGGAACTGTTAAGGTTACAAAATAACACTATGTTCATCTAGTCCAACCATTGATCCATCACCCCGTGCCCACTAAGCCATCCCTCATCAATGCAGTTCTTGAGTACCTTTAGGGACAGTGACTCCATCACCTCCCTGGGCAGCCCATGCAATGCCTCACCACTCTTTCTGAGAACAAGTGTTTCCTACTGTCCAACCCGCACCTCCCCTGCCACAACTGAAGGCCATTACATTTTCATCGTTCCAGGCTGGTTGATCTGCATTGAAACTCTTGTGTTAAGATGACAAATGGCTTCACCTAGGCCGACTTCCATCACATGGAACCTGTACCAGCTGCTGCTGGGTGCGGAGCTCCTGGAAGTGCACCTGGCTGGGCAGCTGATGGAGTGCCTTGAGGTGCCCGGCTGTAGCTAGCTGCTCAGCAGTGCTTGATGTGTGACTGTGCCTTCTGCTGGCTTTCCGAGTGGTATTACAAGAGTGTGAGAGGGAGTATTTTTCAGATTCTGTTCATTGAAAAGCAGTTTTTTTAAAGTATAGCTTCTCAGTGTTGTGGAATACTTTGCCTGTTGCTTGCAGTGTGGATACAACAAACACTGTACCAAGTTCAAAAGGGAACTTGAGCTGTAATTAAATTTCCCAATTATTTTGGCTGCCACTCACATTTGCTTCTATACCAATAGCTGACAAAGCAGCTTATTTTTGGTTTTGGATCGCAGCCCCACTTTGGAAGCGTCCCCTGTGGAGAGACAAAACTTTGGATTCCTGTTTTGTTCTTGAAGCCTTAGTATTCATGTGGATATACCAGTCTGTGCACAGCCAAGGTGTGATGCTTGTCATGTAAGAGCTCTAAAATATATTGCTGCAGCTCCTCCAAGGCCATCCTAAGTGTGTAAGGTTTTCTGAAGTAACAGCTTAAAGTTGTAAACTGTTTCCAATGGATGTGTGAAACGTCCTGGTGCAAATGCTGTGTTTGAAGTGCCTAGGAGTGCTTTATTTCCAAGACAAGACAGTGCCTAGTAGGCTTAAACTTAGTTCTAGAATACTTTTCTTCCTATAATTGTTAAAGATACTATCTAAAATTACTGCTTAGTTTTGAAGAAATATTTGCTTAGCATTATCCACTCGATGGCTCCAGGTATCACGGTTTCTCTAAAGACTCGTGTTCTTTGTAGGTCTTAACCTGTGCAACAGGGGAAACTGTAATGTTTGTGTTCTGAGGAGCTCTGTCTGGGCTGGCAGTTAGCAAAAACACCTTTCCTCATTTTAACCTTGCTCTGCTCAGAGTAACTCCTAACCTGTCTTCCCCTCTCTGCACCCCCAGCTCCTCTCCAGTAAGAGGAGACAGACTGTTTCTGTCTTGGTATAGATAAATATATCTGAAGTTTGAAATTCCATCTCTGGTGTAACTGACTTACAGAAATCGTGTTGCTGTGATGGGAAATGGGGGAGTATAGGATAAGAAATAAGCAATTATTGGTGAAATGAGACTCTCCAGATAAGACAATAAATAAAACCTGTGATTCCTTGAAAAATATCTTTTAATTCAGCACATTGAGAGAATTCTGTACTGACGTGTGCAGCAAGTGTGCTTCTTCAGTTTGTCATTTTCACTGTCCCAAGGATCTGCTGTTTAATGCAGATTGCTTATCCTTAGATCCTGGGTCATCTTCAGTGTATTTTGGGAGCATTTTCTTGAAATGAAATGTGGGAATTACATTTTTTTCCTTACTTGTATCTTTTAGGAGGAACTGGAGAAAGCCACGTTTGCTGGCAGAAGCTCTGCAGCCATTAGCACACAGCAGTGACACCAGGCATGCAGAGTTGCATTCTGCTTGCAGTGTTTTGCTTGCCAAATGGGATGTGTCTCTGTGTTGTCAGTGTTCTTTTCTGCCCAAGTTTCAGTAGGGCTGCCAGGTTGCTTTTGGTTTAAATGGAAGTATTTTGTAGTGGTTTGATGTCTTTTACCTCTCTCAGCTGCTCTGTGCCTAGCCTTCTGAGAATCGTGCTGGTTTGCATGCTCTCTGACTGGATCAAAGTGGATCTTTTTTGTAAATTACTTCGTATCTAGTTTTGTTCTGGACTTGTTTCTAGCAAAAAGAGGTGATTTAATGGAACAGAGAAGGACCAGCTTGTCTCTTTGTATCAGCTGAGGCAAACTCAAGTGTTTATTTGTGAGACAAAGAAGCAAAGTCAATGTCTATGTTAGGGCTACTTTCATGAAGTGTCAGAGTTCCTCATTTTGGGTTCTATTGGCTTTGGTCATAACTGCTGTATTGTGACTTATGGTTCATTATGCAGAAGTCATGTTTCAGCTGTGTGTGTTCCAGGAATTTTATTTTTCAAGGAAATGAGTATAAAGTTGTTTCATCATCTTTTAAAAACCAGTGTTTTCAGTGGTCATTTTAGAATGTTAGGTGCTTTTGGAGTAGATGGCAGAGGAAGACTGAGTAACATGGAAACTCTAAGGAATAACAATTCCTTATCTTAAGGATGAAAGTTGTAAATGATTTAAATTTATCACATTTAATATAGTTTTATGTTTAGCTATAGTTCTGTTTTGCTGGATATCATCCATGCCTTAAGAAGAATGCATATGTAGGATTTCTTCTGCAGATTTAACTTAATGTTTTCCATTACGTGTTGAAAATGTTGGTGCCGAAAAAGGGTTGGCTTTTGTTTTATAGTCTGGTCATGGTTTGATTGAATTACCAGAATTTATGAAGATCTCGATTGCTACAGCTGGAAACCAAGAAGTTTAAAACTTTTTTTTCTCCCCCCCCTCTAGATTTTCAACTGAATTCTCACCTATCAACACTGGCAAATATTCACAAGATTTACCACACTCTCAATAGGCTGGTAATGACTTGCCATTTTCTCTTGGTGGAATTGCTAGGGCGATAGGTCAGAATGTTTTTGTGGTTGAAATCCTTTAGTGATTGCACTTCTAAGAAGTATCACTGCCTGCTTGGCTGAGAGGCTGTGGGTTTTGAATCTAGGAACTGCACTAAACAGTAAATACTGCTGAAAGGTTATAGGTTATACACCAGCGTTCAGAGTGGAGTTTTAGCCATGTTCAGTGCAACACTGGATTTGAAGTTTTTTTCCCAAACAAATTTTCCTAGATGATCAGATGATGGAAATCCTTATTACACTTACACCTTCCATTTATACATTGCAAATGTGGTGGATAAGACATTTTCTAAGGAGAAAAAAAAAAAAAGATTGTTTCCAAGATTCCAGCTGAGTTTTAACCAGTTCTTTTTTGGGCGTATGTGTGAGTGTTCAGCCATAAGCAATGCCACTACTGTGGTAAAGGCTAAATTCAGATTTTCAAATATGGCATTTGTTCATGGAGTTTTTTTTTTTTTTAAAACACTGCAAAATTGCCCATTCAATGCATAGTTACTTCCACTCTTCAGATGTTTGTTTTTGAGTTTAAAAAAGTGTTTAAAAATATTTTTCACCTGACTTGCAGATTATCCTTGAGCTTTTTAGATACATTTGCAAATATAATTGTTCTGGAAAATACAAACCCAAAACAAAAAGCCTCTGCAGTTTCAGCTAAATGCTCCTTAAATAGTGAAAATCAATATTAATATGGAATAAATGTTAAAAGGTTACTGAACAGTGGAGATTATGATCTTATTAAACTGTATTCATTCCTATTCTCTTGCAGAATCTGACAGAGGACGTTGGCCAAGACGATCGCCAGACAGGTATTTAATAAGGATGCAGTAGAAATAGATCACAACAATTTAATCTTGATTCATGAAATAAGTGTCTCTAGCATTACGGAAACTGAGATTTTAGGAAGCTGAGGGAGTTCTAGAAAGCAACTACAGAATCGTGTTTTTCTTTTTTTAAAGATTTCTTCAAAGTGTTTGTACTTTTAAATTCCCCAATTGAGAAGAACGGACAGGTTTCAGCAGTATGTTATTTTACAGTTTCTTTGTGTAAGTTCTTTAAGAAGACCTTACGACAAATTCCTCTCACTCCTTGGACTCAACCCATCAGACTAGCAGAATATCCATGTTCTTACAGTGTTTTGACTCCTGAAGTTGCATTAGTGACAACAGAGCAAAAGCAAGGCCTCTCATGGCTATTGTGTTGCCTGTGACCGAGTTTAAATGCTGTGCTCCAAACAACCCAACTCTTTTTTTTTTGAGTGATTTTGTTGGATGGAACTCGTTCCTATTTCTTGCATAGATTTTCAGTAAATATCTAATGGCTATTTCTTAGTACCCAGTCTGTTTTCCGCTCTACAAAATGTCATTGTTTTTGAGACTATCATCTCAGATGTGTGGTACTAGCTTGCTGCCAATTCTTGATTCACCTGCATTTGTGCTTTGTGGCTTGATATCTTTTAACGTGTGCTACTTCCTTTTGTGCTTGTTCCTTAAAGCTGACATGTTCCTTGATTCCTTTTTTTTTCATTCCTTTCTGTGTTTCAAGCATGAAACTTAAGGAGGAAGGAAAATAACTTGTTGATTTCAAGCCCTGATACTTAGCAGAGCAGTTCTTCAAAACCGTCCACGTCTGTCCTCTCATGTCTTAAAGTTGTTCTTTCTTCTGAGGTGCTAGCTATGTGTGCTGATGTTACCCTGAGCGCTTAAGAAAGTGAGGAGAGCTGTCTGCTTCTCCAGGAGGTTTCTGGAACAAACTTGTAAGTCTACCACTCTCTTGGCTTAGAGCAATGAAAAGAGAGACACTGGGATGGGATCTGACAGAACTCACCTGTGGCTTGTGTCACCTCCTCCATACTGACTTTGTTTTGTAGTTACACTGTGATACCCTGCCAGAAGGCTTCTATCAAATGTTTTCTGTCAGTCTGCTTGGTGATTTCATACCTGAGGTCAGCTCATCGTGTAAAAGCTCTGCAGAAGAGGTTGTCAAATGCAGGTAGTTTTGGCAGACCTGTTACTGTCTTTTTTTTTGTTAGAACTGAAGTCCTTTTCTTTCTCCTAATGGAGACCTGGAATTTTCCCCTTTGTGACCTAGGTTCTTGAACAAAACCTGTATGCATCCTTATTTTGCACATGAAAATGTGTTCTCCAGTCTTTTCTCACTTTTGATTGCAAAATTGTTCTGAAGGATCAAGTATTGGTTTTGAGGCAGTCAAGTTCTGTTACTAATCAATAAGAGTAAGTAGCTGTGCTTAAGATGTTCGGAATTTCTCTTCTCTTGCTTCGCACTACCATCATAAAAGGTCAGTTAAGAAATCAGCCTTAGCATTCCCATTATCTCCTTGGGAACATATTTAAGTGTGTTGTTGATTTTAATGTACTGCTTTATTCTGACACCTGTTTTTATTGCCTACTTTGTGTTTGTTGGAATTAAGCTGTTTTAAAAGCTTAAACATACTCATTGAATGAGTTTGGACACAAAATCCTGATAAATAATGTATTTTTTTATAATAGCTGTAAAGGAGCCTTTCGAACCAGGAAAAAGTATGAAATGAGAGCTGAAAGTAGAAGTTGCTATTGGCAAATTCTTCTCTTCAGATTTCATTCTCGTGTTTCTTATGCTTCTGCCCTATTTTATATCTCTTTGCACAAAAAGGTGAAGTCCCAATGTTTGTGTAACTTTCAGCCTTGAGTTCAGTTGGCCTTCCTCATATGAGGACAAGTAGATGTTCAGGGGGCTATTTTGGCCATTGTGAATGTAGTGCAGTGATGTCTCGTGTGCCCGCTTGTTAGGGGACTTGACACTTGTGAAATGTCTTACAGGAGAGTCTTATGTAAGTCTGCAAAAATCAAAGTCATCTTTTCCAAATCATTTGATATCATTGTGCCTAAGTTTTCATAATTTCTATTCTCTGGTAGTAAGAAATGTCAAGACCTATTCATTTTATTACACGGCTTACAGAACTGCAGAGATCTTGTAGAATCTCAAATTGATCCACATCTAGAACTCATTTGACAGTCATGTTAATAAGTCTGTTGCGAAGGTTTCTTCTTATCAGACCCATCTAGAGATTTCTTTTGGTTTTTTTTTGAGATGTTTTTCACGCTTTGAGTCTTCTGAAGCACGTCTTATCCTTAGAGATTATTGTTATTTTTCTGATGTGTATCCTGGTTAATGTTGTTACAGTGCAGTCATGTATTAAGTCACCTCGAAACAGTGACTTATATCTAAATTTAGTTGAGACTTCTAAAGCTGCTTGGAAAAATGGAGATTTCAATTCCAGGTTACCCTTTGTTTATAATGAACTTTTAATGCTTACTATATTCTTTCAAAGCAGGTATTTTTGAGCTAACAATAAATATGCTGGACATCTAAATTATTTTAGACAAATTCTATCTTTTCTAAGTATTAGTGTTCTTTTTCTGGAATCGTGATTTAAGTATCTAAGAGCTGGAGGATGGGTTTTTCAGATTTTCTTCAGTGATTTGGGAACTATTTGGAACTTTATTTCAAACTATATCGCACATTACAATTACGGTCTCATAAAATGTTTTAGCATTGAGTGTGTTTATATCTGAAAAATAAGGTAGACTGTAAATGTGTCATGTGGCTTTAACTTACCAGCTGTTTCTAAGGGTAAGAATCACAGACAGTTGGATTCGTTAAACCGTTTGTTCTTTTTTCCCCCTTCTTTTTATATGTATTAACTTGGAAATTTCCCTCATGAATTTGATATCAGTCATTTTTGTCATCCCTATAAATCTAGCAATAGCTCACATTAAGGTCCTACTTTGATTATTAAATTGTGACTTGTTTACTTATCCAGACTAAAATGTCTGTACAAGTACGTATCCTGCTGTCTCCTGACTGTTTTCCTAACACAAAGAGGTAATGACTTCAGGAAAAAAAAAGGCTTCATTGCTTTTCTTGAAGTTTGGAAGGGGGTGGAGGGGAAATTATTTTGCTTCTGCCCTTTTTTTTTTTTTGGTTGTTTTAGAGAAGAAAACCCTTTTAAGTCCAAAGCAGTTCTGTACTGTGGAATTCACTATAGAGGAGGTGATTTTTTTCTTCTTTTCCTGGTATTACAAGAAGATTGTAAATGGTTTGGTGGTTTGACGAGTACCTTAGTTTTTTTTCTCACCTCATATCTGAAAAATGATGATTGTTAACAGTATTTGTTGTGATGCTTGTTGCATCATTGAGTGAGTTGCTTTATCTTTTCCAGTTCAGCATTCACAGTTTGTAATTATTTTTCTTTTGAAACATCCACCTTCTGTCAAAAGAGCAGAAGTGTTCACAGTCATTATCTAGAGAGTAGGTGAAATGATGCATCTTTAAATCTCTTCTATATGGACACAGCTTGCTGTATTCTTTTTAATTGACCACTGTTCTTTTTTGTTTGTTCTGGTTTTGTTGTTATTCTAGGAGTGTCTCTCCTTTGTGGTGGTTATCTTCCATACTGTTTTATATTTCTTGGGGTGAGTTTTAGCACTTGAGTTGATGCATCTCTGGTAACTTTGTTTCCTGCAAATTTGGAAGTACTGAATAGAATGTTTGGCAAACAACATTTATACTCGGCAGGCTTTTGGCTGGCGGTGGCCTATTCCGCAGCCATTTGGAGGCTCTACCTTGCAAATGCTAGCTTCAAGTGTCAAAAAAAAACAGTGAGAACTAGGAGGGTTCTGCCAATCTTGAGTTGAGACCCAGGAGTAAGAAACTTTGAAGATAATCACATCAGAGAAGCTGCACTTGGTAAGTAAAGTTCCTGTCAAACTTTGCATGAAGTCGGAGAGAGCTGCATGTGCGTTTGCAGATGATCAGACCTGTGAGAAGTGAAATTAGTTGGGAAAACCCAGATGTTAGCAAGGTCTGTATAGAAAAGATTAATATTAATGCTACTTAGTGAGCTACGCTGTAAAATAAGAAATTAAAAAAAATTTAAATGAAGCTGCATTTAGATATTTTTAAACTTTAGATGAAAGTAGCAGAAATATCCTGCTTTTTTAACTTTAAGAAACTACAAGAAAATTATAACTGTCCTTCAAATTCGATATACACTAATTCTAGTGACAAAAGTAAATATTTTTCAAGTAATGTTCTTGCAGTGTGGTATTCAGTAGTTTATAGATCATTCAATAGTTAAAACATAGTGAAGATTTAGTCTGAAACTAAGTTATTAAGATGTTAAATCTCTGAAAACAAGTAGAATATGTTTGTCCACGTTGTGTCTTTGTGTGTGGGTTGAGCATATGCATTTAATAGCCATTTACCAATTTCTGAGCTCACTTCTCTTTCCTTTTCTGTCAGTTTGATAACTGCAACTAGATACATTCAAACCAAGAAAGGGTGTAAGTTTTTTGTATGAGTTGTTGAAGAAATTGGGGTGTGATGAATTCTGTTATCATTTTAAGACTTCAAACAGGAATTCTTGGATTAAATTTTTTGGTTTGTCTGGGGTTGCAGAGCTGATAAAATGATTTTCCCATTCTATAACTTTTATTTATTTTCATCTTCTGCTATGCATCTCTCTTCACCGAAGCCTTGCATATTACTTTTCCCAGTAAAATAACCAGCATTAGCAGGAGTAAACTGGACAAATTCTAGGGGGTTTGGTTTGGTAGTTTTGGTTACGGTTTACTAGAATCCAGTGTCTGTGGCATCATAAATAGATTTCTAAATAGGCATACAAAAAAAAAAAGAGAGTTTTCAAAGGAATGAGGTGACTGTGGGTTGTGTTCAGGTACTCAAGAACATACATACATTCCAAAATAATCTATTTGTTAGCACACGCTTTGATTTATTAAGTTTGTGTCTGAGCTTGTTCGTAGTTCTGAATCTGTTGGCTGTCTGTAGCCATCTATTAAGTTCTGCTGTCGTCTTAAATGTCCTTAGTTTGTGTAGGTTTTCAAATATCAGAACACTATTTAGAAACTTGATTTAAAAATCCATAAAACATCATACTTTGAGTAATTTCTGGGAATAGAATTTTGTGGTACCGTTACTTTGCAGGTATGATAAGATGGAACTAATGCAGTCATAAGATGAGGTTCATTAGTTTCTTTAACGTGGGTAGTAAAATGCTTTGGGTGTATTGTGAAATTTTGGTGATCTCTGGCTAATCTGTTTCAACTATACTTATTTTTGAGAATATGATTATTGTTAATATCCTTTTATTATATATTCAGGGTAATGCTTTTAGAAGTACATTCTTCTGACATAGCCATTATATTTTTATGTGATAGAAGTTTGAGTATGATGCTGGATTTCTTTTTAATAACTAGTTAAATTATATTGTAAATGCACAGTACTCTTAAAGCTTTCTTTCTAAAGGATAGTGCAGGTATGTCCATGCTTTCCTGGTAGTGGAGCTTAGCAGACAAAAGAGAGAAGAAGGAGGGGGAAAAAAGTATAGGAAGAGTATATAAACTGGAAAGAGTATTTCTTGAACTAGAGAGATAAATTTTCTTAACAGAAGTGAGTGTAAAGGTAAGACCAAAGAAGGCATGCTAAATTTAAAACTTTGTTAGTTGAAACCAAATTTGTTAATGTTGATAACTGGTATGACCATATTGTCTACTATCAGAAAAATCCTTACTTTTATGTGTCTAATAGTTTCAGTGCATGTTTTAAATAAAGTACATATAGCAGAGCCTGTGAGGCTGTAAGGTTCCTTACATGTGTTTCTCCTATAACAGGAGAGAGACTTTCAAAGATACGAAGAATAGGTAAGCATAAGATTGCCATTAGTATTTGTTGGGAATTGGGCCTCTGATTTCAGTCTGTTCCCCTGGTGTCGAATGATAGTACAAGTTTTATTGCTTAATTCTGTGCTATGATTTAAAATAAAAGATTTTGTCAACATGTTAGTAAAGCAGAACTAAACTTGGATGCTGTTGAAGCTAAGAGAAGGTAGCTTAGGCATGCTGTAGGTCTTCATATTTTCTTGCAAGTTTCTTTGGCATCGCTTTGTTTCCAGATTTTTATACCTCACCTCTCCCTTCCTTTCCTTCTAAAATTTCTCTGCATAACATTTAGAGCTTTTTTAGCTCTTTGAGCTGCTCCTACACATACCTTTTTCTGGTGTCCATGTGGTCTTCAGTATATGAAAGCAGGGCGAAATTTTGCCTGACTTTTTAGCCTATTGCTTTAATGAGGCAGCAAATATATTTAAACAACTTGCTGTACTAATATACAGAAAGGTTTATGTGGGGATTGTTTTTTCCTTTTTCCCTTCAGTTTAATTACAGGTTTGGTGAGCTGGTTTAGCACACTGAAGAGTTACCAGAACTGGCAAAAGGAACAAGTAGGAGTATGCAGCTAGCACCAGTTTTTTAAATTGGCCATTTCCTACTTGCAGAACTTCGCTGTTAAAGAACTACCTGAGCAAAATGATACTCATATTTTTCCTAATGGTTATTAAGCATCTCTTTGCAAAAAAAAAAAAAACTCTGAAAAAAAAAAACACGGGGAAAAAAAAAAAAAACAACCACCC